CTGTCGTCTCCGAGTTGCGGCCAGTGGCAGTGATCTCCTACCATAGTCAAAGAAGGCAGTAAGCTCCATCTGCATTCTCTTGCCTCGATCTACTCACTCCATCTCCGATCTGCTTGTGGTCTACCGAGTTCGTCTCCCATCTCCTGTGATCTATGTTTGAGTGAAGTTTCGACTGGGTTTAAAGGTAAATGATCTTCTCCGACCTTTTTTGGATGATATTGGTCAAATGCAATGTTTGGTCTTGGTCAGACTCTATTTTCCTCTTCATTCTATTCTATATATGTAGATTTCTTCTCACGATTGCTAGCTTAGTTGTGTAGTTTGAACCATTTACTTCGACCATTACAACTCTTTTACATTTGCAAATAATAAGGTGGGTAAAAATTGATTTTTCATGTTGTTTCTGTGCTAGTTTTGTGCCTAGTCGAACTCTGTGCTAATATGGGAGAATTGTTGAAAGTTGATTTTAGCTATTGAAACCTAATTTTAGTCAAAATCTTGTACATTTGCAAATTATGGGAAAGCTATTGAAAGTTGGTTTTGCGCCTAGTTGAACTTTGTGCTGGTTTTGGTTTGTGTGATCACTGATTACTAGAGTTTTATTCTCAAATAGTATGTTTTGCATATATGGGGGTCATTTAGTCGAATTTTATGTTGTTTGAGTGTCTGTTGAATGTTGAATTTAGCTCCTCTAAAAATTGCCAAGTTTTTGTCATGTAATATTTTAATTACAATTCTTATAATTAACATGTTAATTTTTTATATTCTCATACAATTAATTTTTATATAGTATAATGAGTAACAGTAAGTCAAAAGCTTCATTGGATTGAAGAAATACTAAAATATTTATTGACATTTGTTTAGACCAAGCTCAAAAATCACAAAGAAATGGTGATAGTTTTACCAAAGCAAGATGGCTCAGTATAATTTCTACCTTCGATGAGAGGACTGGACAAAAATATGACATACAACAATTCAAGAATAAGTGGGATAATATGAGAAAAGAGTGGGTACTGTGGGATAAGTTGGTTTTAAGTGAGACAAGATTTGGTTGGGATTACACAAACAATACTATGGATGCTTCAGATGACTGGTGGGAGAAAAAAATATTGGTATGATGTTATTATGTGAGGCTTTATATTTATTCTATTTATTTGTAGATTCTGTAATATTATTGGTAATTTATGTGCAAGAAAATCCAAATTTAGATATACAGAATTATCATTTGCTAATGAATTAACCGAGTTATTCCAAGGCTACCATCGCCAATGGACCTAGAGCATGGGCACCTTCAAGTGGAGTTTTGCCTAACATTTACAATAGGAATGAAGGTGAGGACAAAGACGTGTATTGGCCAATATGGCAAATGAGGGTATTGATTTGGAGGAAGGTTCAGGAGATGGTGATGAGATCTTAGGAACTACTGGAGTAAGTAGTGAATTTAATAAAGTAGTTCTGAATGCTTCTCAAGAACCTTAAGTAGAGGCAGTGGTAAGAGGAAGAGGGGCGAAAGCAGTAACAGTAGAAAGAAGAACAAGTTACCTAGTACAAGTCAAATAGCAGATGAAATGAGTGTGATAGCTCAAACAATAAAGGAATAATCTCAACAGGCCAAGGAAACATCAATTCCTGAAGTCATGTCCATAGTCAAACAATGGGAAGAAGTTGCAACTGACAAACATTGAGTTTCACGATACATGTCACTTTTCATGTCCCGAGAGACTAGGGTGACGTTTTTGACAATGAAGGATGATAAAGAAAGTGTTTTGGAGTGGTTGACATATGAATGTTACAAAAATGGTTGATTATTAGGGTTTTAAAACTTTTTATGAGCATATGATCTTACGTAAAGAGTAGTCTAACATGTTTGTATTATATTATTGAATTTGACTTATGTAGCCTCTTGAACTACTTATGTACTTTTTATATATGGTAATGAAGTATTACAATGTTATAGAAAAGTTATTGGTATTTCTATAGATAACTTATTTAGATGTGTCTATAATTGAAATTAAGTTTATTCATGTGTTTGGCTACAGGTAGCAAGACATATGAAAGAGTCGTCTTAAAAAAGCTTAAAGATAGCCCAAAAAGTTAGTGCTCTCATTGGGTTGTATGCAACCAAACATTTGTGCAAAGAACCATGAAGAAATAGTGAATATAGGTCATTTATGGGTGAATGAAATTTTAGAGGGATACCCAGTTCATTGCTATGAAATGTTTAGAATGGAACCACATGTGTTTCATCAATTATGTAGTGAATTGACATGGCATGGACTAAAGGATACTAGGCAAATGAGAGTACAGGAGATGGTTGCAATTTTTTTAAATACAATTGGACATGGGTTGGGAAACAGGATGGCACAAGAAAGATTTCAACATTTAGGAGAGACTATTCACAGGCATTTCTATGAAGTTTTAATGGCTTGCTCAAAACTTGTAATGGAATATATCAAACCACAAGATAGGTCCTTTTGTCACGTATCAAACAAAATAGAAAATGATAAGCGATATTGGCCATTCTTCAAAAATGTCATTGGAACAATTGATGGCACACATATTTCATGTGTAGTCCCTGCTAGTGAAAAATCAAAATATATTGGAAGAAAAGGAATCCCTACGCAAAATGTAATGGCTATATGTGATTGGGACATGTGCTTTACTTTTATCTTAGTTGGATGGGAGGGTACTGCATATGATGCTTGTATTTTTCAACTTGCTCTAACAACTCGATCCATGAACTTTCCACATCCGCCTTTAGGTATATTTATTTGTTCAATTTATTTGTGTTAGACTTTCCAACTTATAGACATTAATAGTAATCCTTTTTTAATAAGGTAAAGATTATTTGGTGGATGCCGGCTATCCAACACCAAATGGATATCTTGATCCGTATAGACAGGAATGCTACCATCTTCCTAATTTTAGAAGATCAACTAGATATGCAAATAATAACAAGGTCTTTAATTATTTTCATTCAAGTTTACTGTGCATAATAGAAAGAACATTTGGAGTTTGGAAGAAAAGTTTGCAATTTTATACAACATGCCTAGCTATGACTATGATATACAAGTTCAAATCGTTGTTGCATCAATGGCGATACATAATTTCATTAGAAGACACTCTAACTTCGATTCTGATTTTATATGTCATGAGAGGGAAGATCAGGAAGACCATGAGGATCAAAAAGACCATGACGTTAATGAATATTATTCATCCGTAACATCTTTTTTCATCAGCTATGACTAGTATTCGTGATATTATTAGGGACCAACTTGTATATTATCATCTTCATTAATTGTTGTAAAATTAATGTTTCATATTTAAGAATTTAATTTTCTTGTCTTTTATTGAATTTATTTTAAGTAAGATATATTTAGTTACTTATTTACATAAATTTAAATGTTAATATTAATATAATTTAAAGTTTTAATTAATTATATATGTAGTTTAAATAATATATTTTACTTCTTAAATAAAATGTAACAACTTTAATAATATTAGATGCAAATTTATCAATAATTTAATTTTAAAAAGAAATATCCTTTATGGTAATTTGTACAGTTAAAATTAATTCTGAAAAAATTAACCAAATATCTTCAATTCTGTTAAAATTAATTTTAGAAAAATAACATCCAAACAGATTACGTTATAACATAATCAATTATGATTAAAATCTACCACTTAATCAATTATTTTCATAATCTATTATACCCAACTGAAATCCAAATGGGCACTTAATTAATAATATTCTTAAAAGCTTAATTGATGATACAGTATAATGACATAGTGTAATTTATATAGCCAATTTTATCTAATAAGATAAGACTTGTTATTTTTATTAACATGCTAATTTTGGGCTTCCTCGCTGTTAATATGGGTTAAATATTAAATATTGATTATTTCAAGCTAAATCTGAGGTTCATTCAATTTGTTGTTTCTCGATTTACACTAGATTTGAATCATGCTTATTTGTTGAGTCACTAGGATCGTAACACTTGATTAAGTTACACTGTCACTAATACTATGCTTTCTACGGTTCAACACAGCTCAAACCATACAAGATGGAGAATAAGAAAAAGGACATGGCATGGGAATAAGATTCAATGGATCATATCCTCGGCAAACTAAGATTTAAAAACTGGTAAGTTGCAGGCCCCCCCCCCCCCCCCCCCCCCTTCTTTCTTGGGGGAAAAAGGAAATTATTAGCATTAGTAAGACTAGATTCGCGGGTATAGTAGAACGCCTTACTAACATATTCCGTTTGGACAGTGGAGAACATCAGAATTATAAGGAGAGACAATCCTGGAGCATGTCATATACTCTACGGAAACGTCTCAATCCGATCTTTATATTCATACAAATAAATAAGTATAATATATTTTAAAAACATTAAAAAAAAGAGATAATAAACATAAAGATCAAATCATCATTTAGAAATCTTGTACGTAATCATAATTTTTCTCTCTTTATCAATATAAATAAAAAGATCTAGTTGGATCAGGTCAAATTTTAAAGTCAAACTCCAAATGCGTAGAAGCTTAGATCAACTGTGAGCCCATGAAGCAATTCATCCTAAAGCAACGAAAAAGTAGACGGTGATCAAACAAAGATTTTGATTCCCACAAGACTGAGAAAACTGCACATGATTTAGCACATTAATGCAAACGTTATCTAGACAAATCTCAACCTTCTGTACAGTATCAAAGAATCAAATCAAATCAAAGATTACTTTAAAGCGAGGCAATATCTGCTTTTTTGTCGCACTCGCCTTAGTTCAGCATAGTCTTATTCTAATCTATCACAATAGTCATGAACCATAGGCAAAGAGAAAAATATACACAGGACGAAGTATAGTCGCTTCGGCTGAACGACCAATTATGCATATACAGGATCAAAAGTTACATCCACTAAGCATTTATGAGATGCAAAACGTTTATCAGAAATATTATAGGAACAAGATGCAATAACTTGAAGAATTGCTCAGCAAGCTGATAATATAGAGTTTCGAATTTCTTGATAGCTGAAATATAAAATTAAGAATATAAGTAGACAAAATGAAGTGAAAGTGAATTTTCCTCTCACCTAATAATGCTTTTACTTATCATCTCTGAATCATTTATAAATGTTGCCAAAGGGCAGCGAACATTTTAAAACAATACACAACCAGGAGGGAAAGGCTGAATTTAACCTTTCTAGTCTCTTTACCACCCTTCAATCACAACAAAAAGTATAGAAATTGATACTTTTGCCCCTTCCCCCTTCTTCCTATACAATCCAATTGCTGTATTTGGATCCAATTAAGTTTCTTTCCTCTTTGAAAGAGATCCGACTAAATCACAGTTTTGTTCTATAACGAAGACGAATTAAAAAAAAATCCAACAAAAAAAGGAATATTGAGACTTCTCGTCAATGAGTTGTGACTTTGGATCTTTGCCTCGCTGTAAAGCACCACGCCCATGATGGTAATGGCGAATCCCATCATTCCCATGACTGTCACAGGATTTTTGAATATTAAAACCGAAATCACAGCAGCCACAGATGCCTTGGCGTTTCCCAACACTTGCAAAGTCAATGCGCTTGTGTGTTTAGTCACCAGAAAATTTGTCAGATTCACCAAATAAGCTACGGTTGCATTACCAACTAACAAGAATATGATAAATGGATCTCGGCTGGCTTTCTCAACCGTAATGGCTGCCACATTTCCCTCAATATACAGAGTAAACGGAAGCAAGATCATAGCTGCCATTGGAGCCATATACAGAAGCAAATTCATGGAATGAAGCTTCTCTGCCTCGGAGGTCAATAATATACCCTGAACGACGGATTTCAAGGCACGCCCGGCAGTGGAACTAACACAAACCAAGAATCCAAATAAGTGAAACAAGGGCTCACTGTTGCTAGCCACAACAATCCCAAAAACCACAGGCAATAGAGCCAAGTACACCTCAGCAGACTCTTTCTTGCAGGTAATCAAGAAAGCAAAAATTGCAGTGAAGAAGGGCGTTGTGGCACCAATTGCTTGGTTAAAAGAAACCGGAAGGTACCTCAATGAAGTGTTGCCGCAAACGACAGAAAAGCAAAAAATAGCACTGAGAGCGAAGATCTTGAAGAACTGCTTTCGAGAGTGAATCTGTTGAAAAGGAACGAGTTCAAGGAAATGAATGGCTACATAGCTGTAAGCGGCGCAAGATAGCATATGAAGCATAGTGAGGAAGATGGGATAGCTATAACCATAGAAGCTGAGGAGGTACTTGTTAAGCAAGAGAACTCCGATATTAGATAAGTACCAGGACGCAATCATCAGCGCCATCACTAGGTTCGGCGAGAGGTGAGATCCGAAGCTGAATGCGGCGGCATTGTTGTTCCGTACATCTCCTGGCGGAGTGGCGGGAATGTCGAGGACGGGATCACTGGCCGTGGTGTCCGGCAACCGTGGATTGCTCATTCTTCTGGTGGTCCATGTCTGAGACTCCACCATGGTCAAAGGAGAAAATGGGAAAAAAATCGCCTTACTTTCTCTCTCTAACGCTGTCGCAGGGTGGGTGGTAAGAGAGAGAAGTAGGCGGTGGAGAGGCATCTGAAATGGAAGAGGAAGAAGAAGATAAAAAGCAAACAATCGTAGGGCTGAGATTAAGATTTGAAACGAAAGAAGAACTATATCCGTTAGATGAGACGCGTACAATGGAGGGAATTTGGAAAAGCCGAAAAAGTGATCCGAGCTGTCAATGAGCGGGAGTGTCGGTGAACCCAAACTGGCACCTTCTCGCTCTTATTCTGTATATTACACTTTTTAAATTACTCACTAGTTGGCCAAAAGGTGTAGGATTAAAATGAAAGTTTGCCCCTAAATTTTTCTCGGACTCGATTTCGACAGAGTTAAAAATAAAGATCGAGTTTAGAAGGTTAAGTTTAAAGTCTTATTTAAATAAAGATTCAAGCTTTAAAAATAATTTTTTTTAAAGTAATCGAGTTTAAGAACTTGACCCTAATAAGCTCTGTAAAAAAGGACTCGAGTTCGGGTAGCCCTTCAAGTCCTGTTATATTATTATTATTTTTTTTTGGTGAAACACGTGTTTGAAGCCAATGACCTGCTCACCTGATTCTACACGCATTATATTATTATTAATTTATTTTTTTCTAAAATTAATTTAATATAATTTAATAAATATCAGTGTATAGTATAAAATTTCTGATATTTTTTATTTTTTATAATTATTATGTTTGTATATTTATAAAAAATGAATTATTTTTTAACCAAAATTTAAATTTTATTACTAGACTTCTAAATGTGTGTTGTTTAATTTTTAAAAAATTATGAGAATTTTATTTTTTTAATTTCAAAATATTTTAATTAATTTATAATGTTTAATTTTATTTTTATTTTTTAAATTTTTTGAAAAAGGGCTTACGGGCTCGACCTTGAGCCCTTCACATAAAGGCCGGACTTGAGAAATAGGGTTCAAAATAGGAAACTGGACTTTAGGGCTCAGGCCCTTAAGGGCTCCAACTTTAGGTTTCGGTGCTCATCCTAAGATGAGCATCGTGGTGCTCAGCACCAAAACACTGCGTTTGGCAGTTTTTTTTTTTCTTTCTCTTTTTTTAAACCACAAATTTATTATAATAATAAATAATTATTATAAAATTATTATTTTAATATTTAATAAATTAATAAATATTAAGATGTTAAAATTGAACCTAAATAGTTTGAATAAAAATTTTGTCTGAGCATTGAAAACTGTACTAAAAAAATAAAAAATGATTTGAATAATTTAAAATAAGAGTTGAATCTAGTAAAATGAGCTAATTTCTTACACTATAATAAATTAGTGTTTGAATTTTTATTAAGAGAAGTACTTATATTTAATATCTGACTATGCTTTGAATGATATTATCTCTCATAGATAAACAACTGTGCAAAATCAATAAAATAAAAAAATATTCTTATTTACAATTTTAATATTTTCAATACAGTTCTGAATTGTTCAGATCAAAATTTATATACAGACTGTTCAAATTATATTTTAATGAGTTAATCTGTTCATATTTAATTTTAACATCTTAATATTTATTTGTTTATTAAATATTAAAATAATAATTTTATAATATTTATTTAATATTATAATAAATTTATAGTTTAAAAAAGAAAAAAAAAACACTGCCAAACGGTAGTGTTTTGGTGCTGAGCACCATGGTGCTCATCTTAAGATGAGCACCGAAACTGATTCCATTTTCCTCAGCAGGGCAATATTATTTCTAAACCACTCATGTAGTAATATTACTACTAAACTAATTAAATTAAAATAATATTGACTCCAACATTTAAAAGTTTGTTACTGTAGTTAGTATGACTTACTTTTCACGAGTAAAGGTGCAATTTTACCTTTAAACTATACTCAAAGAAGTAATATTGCCTTCACCATTTAAAAATCATAAATGTTAATTAACTGTAGTTAATGAGACTCACTTTTTATTATCTTTTTTCAGTTAACATTGAATCAGGTTAAGATTTTAAGTAAACTATGACATTCTAGTTGTTGAATTAGTTTTTGGATAATCACTTTATGATGGTCTATGTATGAGCTTTTTTGTTTATAATACATATGAGAGAGAGTATTTATTTATGATAGTTAATTTTGCAAACTAATCCACTTAAGATGATAAGAGGCAACCTTTTTACCCCAAAAATGTTGTTTACATGCTTTTTGTTGGATCAAAAGCTCTTCTTATAGTGTTGTTAGTGTAAATTTATATTTTAACTATTGTCATATTTGTCATTGAAAAAAATTAGTACAAAAATTGAGTTTTTTCTTAATGTATAATTCATGACTTGTTGGAATGTTGTTGGAGAATATTATGATATAAATAAATGCTTTCATATGGATATTGGATGTTAGAAAAGATGTGGATGAAATGTCCCTAATACAAAAAGTACTTTTCATTGTCTCTCTCTGGTTAAGATATGCTTATAATTTGTAAATGGCGTGGGCAACAATACTTGAATTTAATTAGTTTAAGGGAGATATTACTTCTTTGAGAATAATAGTTTGCAGGCAAAATTGCACCTTAACTTATAAAAAGCCGGGGCAATATTGCTTCGATTTAATTAGTTTAGGGGCAATATTATTATGATAAATAGTTCAGGGACAACATTGCTCCTTTGACAATAATTTAAAAGAAAAATTACATCTTAAACCAAAATAATAGAGTTAAGGTCCAATTTGACATCTATACTTATTTTTTAAGAGCACTAGATACCATATACTCTTAAGTGGGACAATTTTATTTTTAAATTATTTTTTTGAGGAGCAAAAAAACCACTCTATTAATAAACTGTTAATTTTTTTATTTTTTTGAAATGTGGCATATGCATGGAGCCCCACACACAATGACATATAAGATTTTGACAATATGTTTTGGTACTAATTTGTCTATGAACTCTTTTTCTAGAAGTGCTAAGAACCTTAAAATTTTTTTTTAGGAGCACTGGCCACTCTGAAATCTTGTTAAAATAAAATTTAATAAATATTATTAAAATATTAAATATTTTAATATTTTAATTTAAATATTATTATTTAAAATATTACATCGACCAATTTAATATTTTAATATTTTAATATTTTACAATTTTGTGTTAAAAATGAAGGGAATGAACCTTCAAATTAATAAAGAGATTTTTTCTTCTCATCTCTCTATTTTTTTCTTATTAAGTAACTTTTTTTTTGGTAGCATATTAATAGAATAAGTGATATCTTTCAAATAAATATTTTTGTTGTCATTTTGTTAGTCCTCATTGTCATATTTCTAATTTTACTCCGACCATCGTAACATATAGGGAGTACTAAATCTGGGTCATATAATATTTTGGATGGAAATCATTACTTGATAAAAAAAATTAAGAAACTTAAATAATATTAAAAATATAAGTAAGTTTCAACACACACAAAAAACGTAACAATTTGGATACTATCTCAAAAAAAAAAGATCAAAAATTGATATATAAAAAATAAGAAGTCATGCTTAAATTTATAAAATGCTAGTTTGAGGTGTTAATGTTAAAAAAGTAATTTATAAATCTTGAATAATATTTATAAATAATAATAGTTAAGTTATTAAATATGAAAATATTTAATATTTTTGCAATATTTATTAAATTTTATTTTAATAAGACTTCAAAGTATCTAATGTTCTTGAAAAAAGACTTTAGGATATGATCAAAGTCTTAATAGTCATTGTATGTAAGTCCCACACACATGATACGTTAACATATAACGGTAGAGTTTACAGCCTCCTAATAAAAAAGACATTTTTGAACCTCTAAAAAATACTTTAGGAAACAATTGCCTTATTAAAAAATATAGGATATTCAACATTTTTAAAAAATAAATATAAAGACAAAATTAAATGTTAACCCGAAAGAATATGACAGAAGTCTTTCCCTTCATTTAAAGCCGGATCCTATGATATTTTTATGAATGTAAAAAAAGAAACAAGAAAAAAGAAAAAAAACAACAGATCCTATGTCTCGTATGTGTCGGAACTTCTGTGTCTTGCATCGTAAAATGATAATCATATGAGGTCAAAAAATAAATAATAATATTTAATATATATATATATGGGAGGAAGATAATTCTCTTCTCTTCCTTTCCTATCATCTTCCCCCATTTTCTTTTTCTAACCATTTTTACAAAACTAGTGTGTGCGCTGGGCAATGTACGGAGTATAGACAGATAGGTAATTATTTGAACAATTAATAAGGTATAAATTAAATTATAAAATTATATTAATGTAAACAAAATCACTTTTAAATTAAAGTAACTGGTGTTTAATTTTTCATTAGTAATAATGATTTTGACTATAATAATTATTTAAAAATCTCTACGTAACATTCCATTGAATGAATTTAAAAAATAAATCAATTTTATAAAACACATTTAAATTATAAACAATATATATTCTCTTCATTCAAAAATGTAAAGCATTTTTGAGAAGTTACATATTTAAAAATATAAGGCATTTTTAATTTTTTAAGGTGTAATTATTATCTTTTTTTCAAAAGTACCCCTATTGATAATGACTTTATATTTATTTTATGGTGTTTAATAGGGGTAAATATAAAAAGATAGGATTAATTTGAAAGTAGATAACTACTTTATAAAATTTAATTAATAATGACTTATATTTTTGAATGGAGGGAGTACACATTGCATAATTAAATTAGAATTATGAATTAAAATTAATTTCATAAATTAGATTTGGGATAAAGATTATATATCACAATTTTCTTTGCTAAAGCACAATTTGGATTTAAAATTTTATTAAATTATTTTCATAACAGATAATAGATTATTTATCATTTTTATTCCTATCATAGATTATTTATCTTTTGCCATTATCCCTCAGTTTTTAAAATTAAAACAAGAATAGTGTGATGGAAAGTTACAATAATGGGAGGAGGGTGAGATAATGGGAGAGAAATGAGAAAACATTATAAATTATGAGAAATTAATAAATCATTTTAAAAATATAATAAGCGAGAAAAATAAATTATTGTAAGAAGTTTGAC